GAAAAGTCAAGGAAAGGGAGAGGTCAGGGAAATAGAGATACATAGGGAAGGAGAAGGTTAGGGAAAACGGATGAAATATGGAAAGCAATGGAAAAGGAAAGAGGGAAAGATTCGGAAAGTGTCTAGAAAGAAAAGGAGGATAATCATGGAAGGGGAAAAGCAGGACGGAAAGGGGGAAGCAGATGAACGTAGAAATGGGAGAGGGAAGGAGGGGTGGGGGACAAAATGGAAAGCGGGAGATGAGGAAAATGGAGTGGGAGATGGTTTGAGAGTGTGAGCGGAAAGGGTTGTGAAGAAGAGAAGGGAGGTGACGGTCGTATTTAAGTGCGTGAGGATTCCTTTCGGTGGCATCTTACCTGGTGCTACAAAAAGCGGCTTGCATTGAAGAGTGCAGACGAGAGAATTAGACTTTGCATGCGTTCATCGCGGATGAGTTCATGCGGGAAAGGTGACAACGAATGAGGACAGCTTAGACAGAGGATGTGATTGGATGTGGGAATAGCATTTGGTCTTCCAGGTTCCGATGACGGAACGAATGACGGAAGAACGGCATGTAGTAGTAATGTACAAGTACGAAGCGTGGCTGGAATTCAACGAATCGGACATCGTGCGTGACAGAGATCATGTCTGAACCAGGAAGCACGACAATTGTCGCATGAGTGAGGCGTGTGTGAAGCGAGCGCATGCAAAAGAGGAATTTGCATTGCTTCTTGTCTGCAATGCAACTATGAAAGAACTGGATCTCGTTTTTATGTTAATTGAAATATTGTCTTGCCATACCGGCGAACACACTATGAACTTAAACATCTTGCACTTCTCTCAGTCATTTCGAGAAGGGGCTCAGCTGTATTGCTAGGAATTGCATCCAATCACATGCAGCAACTGACAATTGCCTTGAGCTTTGTCTTTATTATTTCTCATTTGTCAGCATCATTCTCGTTAATTCCCATTCTCCCTCCTCCGCTTTTCTCTTTCATCTCATCGTCTCCCAGCTCGTAACAACCTCTACATAAGCAGCGTGCTCCACTTTCTCCCCAATGTCTTTCGCCACTCCACAAAATCAAAATCAACATCTCAACAACTCCATCTTTCGCCGCGTTTTCCAAAGAACAACCATTTCGAGAAGGACGCGTCCTTCGAGAAGGGCACGATGCTTCTTAAAGTAAGGTCGATAGCACGCACGAGGGATCCCTTCTTTCGCCACCCCAATGTCCGTTGTCCGGGCTCCGGTGCATCAACCTGAAGTGCGCCACCTGCGGCGGGAACAGGACCGCGGCCTTCCGAAGGTGCTGACGATCCCTCCTAGACGTCAATAGCCGAAGAGCTATCGTGTTTCCTCACGGTTTCCTGCTCTTTGACGCAGTTCTCGCGTCCGAATTTTCCACGCCTTTCGTCTTCATCGCGGTTGATTAAGGCGGTTCTGACCTCCACTGCACAGACGCCCTGAAGGTCACCATGCATTGAAGAATCATTGAACGCGGGGCAGAGGGACTCTCCCATGCTGTCGCTAGACAGATGTTGGCTGTCATCGACGCCGGATCTTTCCTACTCAACGACACGTACTGCGTGTCGTTGAGCAGGAAAGACATGCTGATCAGAACAAAAGTCTCCGTCATCGACATCCATGGCAGCTCCATGCTTCCCAATCTTCAGTCTGCAATTGAGGAAGGGGGGGCCTTCTAGGTGACAATCGTCCCAAATCACGCCACAACAGCAAACATTGGTTCGGCGAGAAAAGAAATCCTCGAGCGTGCTTTCGGGCTCACTTTAAGAAACGTCGCGGCCTTCTTGAAAAGATTCGTCGTAAGAAAACACAGCAAAGGACAAAAGTGTTGAGACGTTGATTTGGTTTTGCGATGAAGCGAAAGATCTTGTGAAGCAAGTTGAGTTCGTAGTTTACATAGAGATCATCACAGGATAGAGCGCAATGAGAGGAAAGAGAGAGGCCTGGAAATTGGAAATAATGAGAACGATACTGACAAATGAGAAGTAAAAATAAAGTGGCTCGATGCAATTGTCGGTTGCCGTATGTGTATTCGGTGCAATTGCAGGCAGTGCATGTAAAGACTTTCACGAGATGACCGCGAGAAGTGACAAATGCTGACTTCATAGTGTGTCCGTAGGCATGATATGAAAATAGTTCAATTAGATGTACCAGTGCAGTCCGTTGTGTGTCCACTGCCTTATTCTGTGAGTGACTACCGCACGCATGGCGTATTCCTGTGCCATGAAGAAAAAAACGAGATCCAGTTCTTTCATAGTTGCATTGCAGACAAGAAGCAATGCAAATTCCTCTTTTGCATGCGCTCGCTTCACACACGCCTCACTCATGCGACAATTGTCGTGCTTCCTGGTTCAGACATGATCTCTGTCACGCACGATGTCCGATTCGTTGAATTCCAGCCACGCTTCGTACTTGTACATTACTACTACATGCCGTTCTTCCGTCATTCGTTCCGTCATCGGAACCTGGAAGACCAAATGCTATTCCCACATCCAATCACATCCTCTGTCTAAGCTGTCCTCATTCGTTGTCACCTTTCCCGCATGAACTCATCCGCGATGAACGCATGCAAAGTCTAATTCTCTCGTCTGCACTCTTCAATGCAAGCCGCTTTTTGTAGCACCAGGTAAGATGCCACCGAAAGGAATCCTCACGCACTTAAATACCACCGTCGCCTCCCTTCTCCTCTTCACAACCCTTTCCGCTCACACTCTCAAACCATCTCCCACTCCATTTTCCTCATCTCCCGCTTTCCATTTTGTCCCCCACCCCTCCTTCCCTCTCCCATTTCTACGTTCATCTGCCTTCCCCCTTCCCGTTCCGCTTTTCCCCTTCCATGATTATCCTCCTTTTCTTTCCAGACACTTTCCGAATCTTTCCCTCTTTCCTTTTCCATTGCTTTCCATATTTATTCCGTTTTCCCTAACCTTCTCCTTCCCTATGTATCTCTATTTCCCTGACCTCTCCCTTTCCTTGACTTTTCCCTAACCTTTCCTTTCCCCTATTGATCCCCGTTCTCCTTTTCGATTCCGTTCCATATTTATTCCTCCTTCATTCACCT